TGACAAAGGTGTTCCAACATCTTCTAAGACATCTTCTTCATCATTCCATCCTCTATCATCAATAATAACATTTATGGATTCCATCATAAACCTTATTTCTGGAGTTAAATACTATGTAAGCTCTGCTATTTGTAGAGTAACCCGAGAATATTCCCTCATCACTCTTGGGATCCATCTTTCTTCTCTGTTCACGGTCTTCTAAGATGTAACATTTACTTCCAAAAACATGAAAGTATTTGACAGTAGGTTTTCTTCCCTTCCATATTTCATACAAGGTGGTTGAGGTGCCTTTTCTTAGAGTGAATCTGTTATGGATATATCATGCAGTATTCATAGCTTCATCCCAAAAGTGGTAGGATAACTTCTTAGCATGAATCATAGCTCTGGCAGATTCCTGAAGAGTTCTATTTTTGCGTTCCATAATCCCATTTTGCTGAGGAGTAATGAGAGAGGAAAATTCATGATTGATTCCTTCAGAATAAAAAATATCAACAAATTTATTGTTCTCAAATTCCTTTCCACGATCACTTCTGATTCTGATGACATGACTATCTTTTTCTCTTTGAAGTTTTTGACATAGATCTTTGAAGACTTCAAAAGTTTCTGATTTTTCTCTGATAAAACTTATCCATGTGTACCTAGATAAGTCATCTACAACAACATAGGCATACTTATTTCCGCCAAGACTTTTAATCTGCATAGGTCCCATCAAGTCCATGTGAAGAAGTTCTAAAACTTTTGATGTGGTTAGATCTTGGATCTTCGGATGTGACATCTTAGTTTGTTTTCTAATCTATCATTCACCACATACTCTCCCTTCTTCTATCTTGAGCTTAGGAATCCCTCTCACAACTTCTATAGATATGATTCTCTTTATTCCTTTTAGATGCAAGTGTCCCAGTTTTTGATGCCACAGTTTAACTTCATTTTCTTTGGCTAGAGCACATGTTGAGGAGAAGTTCAACTCTTGGGGAACCCATAAATAACATTTGTCTTTAGATCTGATTCCTTTCATAATAACTTCATTCTTCTTATTGCAAACAAGACATTCTGCCTTGGTGAAGTTTACTCTGAACCCTTGATCACACAGTTAACTTATACTTATTAGGTTAGTTGTTAACCCTTTAACAAGTAACACATTGTCATGTTTTAGGACTCCTGAACATTCCAGCTTTCCAACTCCTTTGATTTCACCTTTGTCTCCATCACCAAAAGTCACATAACTGGTGGAGTGAGATTTGATATCTACCAATAAATTCTTAACACCCGTCATGTGTCTAGAACAACCACTATCAAAGTAAAAATCATCTTTGGTTGAGAATCTGATAGAGGTATGAGATATGATACTAGTAACAGTAGTTTTGGGAACCCATTGTTTCTTCTTTTTTTTCTATTTTGAGAGATCTGATTAATCTTGGGAAGAGGAGCAGTTTTGTGGTACCCATACAACTTGAAATAGAAAGGTCTTATGTGACCAAACCTTCCCCAGTGGTGACACCTCCAGGGCTGTAATTTCTCTCTAGTGTGATTAATTTTTTTCTTGCCATGATGTTTTCCCTGATGTCTTTTCTTGCCATGATGTTGAGACATTTAATTCAACATCTTTGGTTTAGACTTGGCATGAGTGGAATATGATGAAGGTTCTTCAGAATAAGGTTCCTTAAAACCTAGACCACTCTTGTCTCCTATCATTTTTCCTACTTGAAGAATTTTATCTAATGTGTCAGACCCATTATTCAACATCTTGAGTGATTTGACCATTCTGTCAAGATTAGAATTCAGGGAAGTCACTTCACTTTCCAGACTAGAGATAGTTTTTAGATGCTCTTTCCTTTCTGCCTTCAGCTGAGTTATGAGAGTTTTCTGTTTCTCCCCTTCTTGGAAAACTTCTGTACTCATGAGACACGGTTCTCTGTACGAGGCAGCTAATTCATCAAAGGTTAGTTCACCATCACTTGATTCTTCATAAGAAGCATATTTACATGTCAATGCTTTAACATACTTGGCAGATTCCTCTTCAAGACCACTCTCAGAGTCTTTTTCAGACCAAGTAACAGATAGATTCTTCTTCTGTTTCTTAAGATATGTAGGACATTCAGCTCTAATGTGACCAAAACCTTCACATCCATGACATTGTATTCCCTTCCCTTGAGTGGATTTTTCTTCAACCCTTTTTCTTCCAAACTCATTTGACTTATGGATGTCAGATGAGATGTTCTTGACATTTGATATTTGGTTCCTATCCATCTTCTTTATCACTCTGTTGAACTGTCTTCCAAGCAGAACTAAGGCATTAGATATTCCTTCATTTGTATCCAGATCACAGTCCTCCTCTTCATCTTCAGTATTTTTTACAAAAGCTATGCTTTTGTTTTTCTTTTCAGATCTTTCATTGATGCCTAATTAAAATGTCAAAAGGGATCCAACAAGTTAATCCACTCTCATCTTGTTAATGTCATGTGCTTCTTCTATGGAAGTCACATTCATATCAAATCTCTTGGGGAGAGACCTAAGCATATTTCTACCAATTTGTCTTCAGGTATTTTTTCTCCTAAAGCACTGGATGCATTAGCAATCTCAAGAATATTCATATGGAAGTCATTAATACTTTCATCATCCTTCATTCTCAGATTTTCAAATCTGGTGGTGAGCAACTGAAGTCTTGACATCTTAACTTTGGATGTGCCTTCATGGGTAGATTGAAGAATCCCCCAGGAATCCTTAGCAACTTCACATGTGTTTACTAATCTGAAAATGTTCTTGTCAACTCCATTGAATATAGCATTCAAGGCTTTAGAATTTCCAAGTGCAATTTCATTTTCTTCTTTAGACCAATCTTCTTCTGGCTTTAACACAGAAGTAGGTTCTCCATCTTCTCCCAATTTTACAGGATGTTTCCATCCTTTTAAGACAGATTTCCAAGCCCTGTTGTCCAGAGATTTTAGAAAGGCCACCATACGTGATTTCCAATAATCATAATTGCTTTCATCCAGAATGGGTGGTCTGTTCACAAATCCTCCTTCCTTGTCCATAGTACCAGAAAGTATCTTCTCTAGATCTCACCCAGATATAGAGGAGGATGCCTGCTCTGATACCAATTGAAATTCTGGTATCAGATATGTGATGACGAAGGAGATGTCACGACACAAATATCTGAGGACAATATAAAATACAACAATATTAAAAGTAGTAAAAATACAAGGGATTATTAACCCAGTTCGGTGTACAACAACACCTACTTTAAGGGCAACCAAGTCAGGGACAAGTCCACTAAATAATATCAATTCATGGATCTTCAGTAAACAACCAGTTTATGATCTAATCACTTAATCACTACTCGTTCTATACTTCTACATAAAACACACCTAGGCATGAGGCCCTCCTCAAATCCCTTCAATCACTAACAGTGAAAAACAACACATTTATCAAGTTTGAAAAACCTTAATCATTCAATACTTAAAAGCTTATGAATGATCCACAACTTACAACTCAAGTATTGAAACAATACTAGAGTGTATTACAATTAAAAGATTCAGACTTCTAAAACACACAAAGTATTTTTTTTACTCAATTGTTGCAATTGTACGAATAAGGATGTGAGTCCTTATAAAGGCGCAACAACTTATTTATGGACTTGGGCTGAAAAACAAATATTATAAAATTGAATCCCTTGAATATCTCCATGAAAGTAGGCCAAGATATAATCCATAAAGATAACACAAATAGAAAAATATTTCTCCATATTTTTTGCAAACTATAAACCATAAAACCTAAATAAACCACGCTTAAAAATAGGAAACGGAAAATCTGAAAACACGTGCAGATCAGTAGGCAGATGTCAAGACATCTGCTTTAACATCATTCAAAAACAGTTGAGATATTTTACTTCAAATGTCAAGACGTTAAGCAAAACATTACCAAAACAGTATTTTATCAAAATTGCTGCCAACAAACACTAACATTTGCAATTAACTTTGATCGGATATGAGCAATAGGTTAGTAACGTGAAAGTTTGTAGTCAGATTAAAAGTATATATTGTAATTTGCAAAGTTAATTAAAAATATAGTATCTAAAGTTGGAATTTGATTTTAAAAAAATTGACACTCTAAAGTTTTACGTTATCGATACATGATAATTAAACTCATACTTTTATAAAATAAATCCTCATTTCAAAAATATTGTTCTATAATTGTAAGGTTTAACAGATTAGATCTAAGTTGAGGGAAAATCCACAAATGTATTAAAAAAACCCTAATTTAACTGCTTTTGGATGACATCTTTATCAAACCCATCGTGCAGCATGGATATATTTTTTTAAATACAATATGCTAGCCTAGCTTAAGTATATTAATAAAACGTAAGCTAAATACAGTTAGTTATAAGTTTGTAATTTTAAGTTTAATATTTAACAAAATACCTTTTTATTGTTATAAAAATATTATAAGCGTACCAATCTTTTAGGTTTTAGTGTGTATAGAAAAATGATTAAATATGTTAAAGTGATGGCGCGTCAAATAATTGTGTTAAGTTATATTACATCCAAGTTTGTAATTTTAAGTTTAATATTTAACAAAATACCTTTTTATTGTTATAAAAATATTATAAGCGTACCAATCTTTTAGGTTTTAGTGTGTATAGAAAAATGATTAAATATGTTAAAGTGATGGCGCGTCAAATAATTGTGTTAAGTTATATTACATCCAAGTTGTCATCACACCGTTAAACAAGTGCAAAGAGAAAATACAAAAAATTAAAACATTCGTCAACAGCAGGGTTCGAACCTGCGCGGGCAAAGCCCAACAGATTTCAAGTCTGTCTCCTTAACCACTCGGACATATTGACTCTGATGACATTCATCGCGTAAAATCCAAATTGAAGCAAAAACTGTGTTTTGGTATTCTGGTTATTTGGTCACTTTGAGGGAAGAAACGGAGCGCAACATTGTTGTCGATATTATTTATATGAAGCCACTGGTACAGCCGTAGTGCAGTGTTCCTAATTAACCTTATAACGTATAATTTGTAACAACAGGCAAATGTCAGGGTAACAAAGCGTGCTTGCAGAAAAGGAAAAAACACCTTTGAAAACTGTACATTTACATGTTTATTAATTTGTTGCAATTCAATTAGAAGTCAATAATCTTGCACCTTCCTGGCTATTGAATAAATCAAAGAGAAATTTAAGCCTAATAAATAGTGCTTGATGCTCTAAATAAACTTTAACCTTCTATTTCAACTTCCACTCCACCATGCTGATCTATGAAGTCAATCATCTGATTAATAGCTTCCTCACTTCCCAGTCTGTCGGGTCCAGATAAAATCTAAAAGAAAATATATTAGGATAAATCCATATTTCAATGATAGGAAAGAAAATAGCTTTCACTTACTTCTTTTACAATGGAAATGATCTTGGCAAGATTCTCGTTATCACTTCCAAATAGGTATTCATCCGAACTGATCATTGCACACAGTTTACAACTTTTGCTTAGCACATTATATAATTTTCCAAAGTATGGATATAGTAATAATTTGAATATAAAGCAAAAAGTGGTCATAAGAACAATTTAACACCTTTGTATTAATTTAGAAAGCAGCCCGTGTGCATATCTAGCTTCGTTGAAATCATGCTTCAATGGCAAGAAGTTTAACCATTTTTGAATCGCCTGCTTAAAAACATTATGATTGAGGGGGAAAATAGGTAGCAAGGCAAGGCTAGCCTAGCACTTGCAATAAACATTGCAGAAGTCACGTAGAAAAAGTAATAAAAGGAACAGAAAAATATAAGTTTAAATTACTGCTACTGTAACTCTCGTGATATTTTAGGTGCTTGAGAAAAATTAACAATTGATCTAATGATGACTTATATGTTAACCTAATACTTTCTAACACCTGCACGTAGAGAATTTATTTTCTATTGATATTTTGGAAGATTATTACCTTCGGGCCGATAATCTCATGATGAAACTCAAAGATTTTTCCAAGAGCTGCAACTGCGGTATCGCATGATATATTTACATCTCTATCTTCATATGAATCGCTAGTTGAAAGTCTTTTTTTACCCATGACATTGTATAGTCTTAAGATACTCTCTGCATAAAACCTATTATCATATTCCAAGAAAAACTGATATCTGTGTGCGTCTATATACTATACTTTTAAGTTTAAGAGAAGTTACCACAAGCTGAGGCTTTAAATTGATCTCCTCCATACATAGCACAAATACCAATCGCCCGTGTAGCATGCTGGAATAATCGTTACCCAAAAAATAATGATCATGTTTTTTATATATAAATAATACAGACACTAAATTAGTCACACATATTTCAAAATACCAGCTCGGAACAAGGATACTCTGTCCTTAATGCAAAACAGGAGGCTAAAATATATCTGTCACGATACCTGTTCAAATAGCACACAGGAACAAGATCAATTATTAATATAGCCATTCATTATTGTTATAATTTCAGATGAGAATTATAAAAGAAACTAGATTTACTGCGGCAATTTGTCTGGGAATAGTGGCAAGATAACATTAAAAATGGAAATTGCAAAAGCTATCAGCCTATCTGAATTGTCATCGGCCTGCCAAAGATTACGAAGGAGTGATAATAAAATTGATGAGAAAAATAGGATACGAAACACAATTTTTACTTAAGATTATTCAGTAGAACATAGGCTATTGATTATAATATCCCGCCTAAATTGAATCCTAATTGTTGTTACTAATGATCATATGGAAGAGTGACTGTGGATTGGATTTAATTGATTTTGAATATAAATGGTTTGATTGGATTAAGTTTTTAAAAAAACTAAAAAATGAATATAAATTTTTAAAAAATAAAAATTCATCATTCATATCAAATTTCATATCTCATATATAACCTCAAACATAGTTCAAATATAAATGGTACATTGAAAATAATCTTCTCTTATACAGGAAGTTGAAAATATTCTTCTCTTGATCTAATATTACTCTTGTTTTGATATATGCAGGTTATCTAGCACGATGGTTATAACAAGCTCGTTTAAAATATATTGAGATGAGAAGAAATAATAAACATACCAAAAACACGACAACATTTGACAAGAGGTCATCAACATATGGCATGAATCGATCTTTAAAGGTGTCAATTGTAGTCGTTATCAAGATAACTACCCCCTGTGATGAGTAAAAAATCTAATTATCATTCCTACTCTATAGATCCATAAATGTAAATGAAAATTTAGGATATAACAATTACGTGAACGAACACTCTTGTAATTAGAGCTTAGCAAGTGGATTTGGCATAACAAGATAAGAGCTTAGCAAGTGGATTTGGCATAACGTGTGTATAGTATTCAAAAGCAAAAGAAATTAATGATATGACCTGAAGTCTATCTTCTGTTGGTAAAGATTCACATCTACCTTCTGAAGTCTCCACTTCTTGTGCTTTTGTTATTTCAATTTCAATTATCATTTTTATTGTATCTTCTATCTCGTCAGCAATAACCTTGATCAATTTATCATTGAAATATGAACTCGAGGTCTGCATAATGATCATGAGATGCTTATATGAAAAAATAAATATGATCCAAACATATCACCAATATATATATTTTTGCAGAATTGTTTTGTACCTGAATGCATCTGGCAAGTAAGCTCCATACAATTGCATACAAAACCCTGTCAGTTTCCTGCATGTGTTTCACAATGGCAAGAAATAAGTCGATACATTAACTGATATATTAAGAAGTAAGAACGATAACCAAATACCTTCTTCAACACTTCAATCAGAGATTTCACAATGAAGAAAGTCAAACCACTTTTAGTATCAATATTTTTATCACCTACTTTAAGTGAGAGTAATAAGTTTGGAAGACCTAGAAACAGGAAGTGAATTACTTCATCAGAAATAGCTCAAACCCAAATTTTAAGACTATTTTTATGAAACAAATTTGAAAATAATCAAAATATTTAAATTTAGTTTCACCTAAAACAGAAGCCTTGCGTATTTGAAAGCTAGAACAACCAAGCAAGCGCGTAAACAATGCAGTGACCTACAAAATTAAATACATGATTAATTAGTCGTGTGCTTTCTTTTTTAGGTAGAAACCGCTACATAAACCTCAAACGTCAGATCTATTAAAACAACCTTGCCTATGTTGGGGAAAAAGTTTATAGATGACCGAACAGCACAATATGACAATGTATTACAGGCCCAAACTATCATAGTTTCAACCAAACTCTTTTCATAATCATCCTTGAGCTTATCGACAGTAAAGGCCAGATGGATTTGAGCAGATCCAAGCAACATTGGCATAATTTTATCTAAATATTTGTCAATACTCACTCTTGGGCATCGACAAATTTGATCCAGAACCTGCACAATGTTTAGAAAATTAGGAATGTAAACATTCAACTAGTATAATCGTGTGTGTGTGTGTGTGGTGGGGGTGGGTTTAATTGAATTCAAATATACCTTTAAGATGAAACATTTTGTAAAGTATTCTGTATTGCTCAATTTTTCTTCAAGTGATATAACAGATTCCATGACCTTCAAATGTTACAAGATCAATTAGCACAAAAAGAAATTATTTCGTAATTATTTGACAACCGTTAAGATATATGAATTTATCACAAATTCGAGCAAATTTCAAATGATATATTGTTCTAAGATCATAAGGTACATCAAGACTATTCTTGAATGATCGCAAAAGTATTTGTATGGCCTAAAAATTAAATCTTTTATATCCCCCTTTTAATTTTGAATTACTATTTATATCTCAGTTTCAAAATTGCTTTCAATGATACATTCTATATTATTTGAGTCAATTCAAAATAGAATTAGCAGAAATACTCACCTGAACAACTTCCTGCTCTTCAAAATTATCTGGCCCAACTTCCCTAACAAGATATACCATGCATTCTAGACATTTGGCAAAGAGCAAGAATCTAGGTAAATTATTCTTATCAAACACAAATACTTTCAATCCTTCCAATGTTGTATCGTAATGATTTTGGCGAAAAGTTCCCTGTATGCAAAAATTACACTTAATATCACATTAGCATAATTATTGACCATAATCAAAATTTACGCCATTCCTAGATTTCAGATATTAACATACCGGCATTAAAACTGCAAACGATTTCAGGGTGTCAATAGCTTCAACTTGTAACTTCTGTTTTTCATGCTGGAAACTCAGAAAACCCATTTGTAAGTACATAAAACATAAGAAACCATAGAAAAATAATGGTTGAGTTTGAGACTACACCAATATGACGTGTAAGTATGTACAAACGATCGTATGGATTATGCACAGTAAGCAATGATTGCATATAAAACCACAATGCGTGTAAATGAGAAGTTGATAGTGAAAATTGCAGACTATTTACCTTAAGAAGTGCAAGTAATGAAGCTATAATTGATTCCCCAAAAGGTGATATTTTGTCTAGGCCACAATTTTTTACCAAGGAATGAATAACTATAACAGCATGTAACTGCAGAAAATAGTAAATAAAGGATATCATTTACAAAACAACTTTATAAATAACGCTTCAATACATAGAAAAACTTGGGAGATATCAGTTTTTAAGATAATTACTAGTATATCTAAAAATTGAGGATAAATTTTGATGTACACATTTCAATATCAGTAGACTAATAACAATAACAAATGTTTCGGAAGAAAATGTATAAAAATTTAAAATATGTTAAAAATAAGAAAAGTAGGTCAAGATCTCTCATCAAGCTCACAAGTACTAATCATGGTGTGAACTAGCTATTTGTGTGTGATTGTATGCAATATGAGAAGAGTCAATCAATTGTAACTTGTGAATTGAAATAATCGCTTAAGAATGTGCTGTGGAGTGAAAGTCCACACTCCACAGATGCAGCGCTGGCACTAAAAGTTACCTGCATTGTTGGTATGTTATGGTGCCCAAAGGTAAATAGAAACATATAAATTGAATCAAAGAAAACAAGCAACTTTTTACCAACTGATGTTAAGCTACAGCATTGATATGTTTGTACCTGTACGCGAGCACAAGAGTTACATCTGATGATAGGAACTAGTTTAGCCAATAACATCTTGTGATATTGGCCATGCATTAATAGTTCCTTATGTTCACTCAAAGACTCAATTGCTTTAATAGTAGCCCAAAGTACCCGGGGGTCGAGGTCATCAGTGACTTAAGGACCAGTCTCGCAGCTTGGTCAAAGTACTGTACCATGTCCTGTGGTAGAAAAAGGAATAGAACATTATGTATGAATGAAATTGTTAGAATCACAAATAACATGATCTGCACAAAATCGGCAAAAATAATAAATAACAAAAAGCATTGTGTGCACTCTGAAAAAAAACATATAGTTGCATAACGGTCAGCTTCTCGCATAAGAATGTATTGTGTAAGCCTTCTATAATAAATACCGTTCTAATGACACATCTATAAGTAACCAACCAAGAGTTACAAACTAAGTATCTGACATCTTGTGAAATCCATTAGATTTTAATTTGTTAAATGTTACTGCTTGATTATTGAAAGTCCATACTCCACATGGAATGCAATTATTTAAATTCGGAGGTGTCATTAAAATTTATGCTTGTGTAAGAGAAATCAAAATACAAATGCAAACTTCATCCACATAAAGTTAC